TAAGTACCCACCGGCAGACGAATTTGGGAATAGGATTTTACTTTCCTAGTGAAAGTAACAGAGATGGCTAGGATTCTCATCCCTACTTCTTCCTGACTTGAATGCAGGCTGGATGACTGGCGCTGTGACAGTCATTTTGTGAATATTAGACACATATCAGAGACCAGAAACTACACTCTAAAGATAGAATAAAAGCTCACACAGGCTCTACTGACTGTTGAGCAGCAAAACCAACACCAACGACCACTCACCTTTGAACTTATGTCTTGTGCAAACATTAGATACACTTTACTGGGCTTTCAGTTTTTCAAGGGAACATGTTGTTGCTCTAATAAACTTACCACAAAAAGAAGTTGTGGCCAGTCGGCTTCGCTCCAGAGGTGGTGCCCACTTACTCCACATCCCGTGGCAGGCTGGGTAGGTCACACCCTGATAAAAAGGCCAAAAATAGATCATTTGATAGGATATCAGTTTCAACTCGTGTTTAAAATGTGAATCCTGATTGGGTTTCAGTCATACAATGTTCCAACACCTGTTCTTTCACCAGTGTAACTCCCACAATTCCCCAGAAACTTTGTAACTGTACATCTCAAGGTGATTAAACTTTCTTTAACAATTTAAGACAGAAAGATGGCGGCCGCACGGGAGACTTGTGGACAGCAGGTTTGAGCCGGGGGTGGGAGCGGCAGGGACCTCATGGGAAGGGGGGCGTAATGGGCCGTCCTTCACGCCCGACCGAGGTTGCCAGCTGCCCCCCACGAGCGGCTCTCCGGCACAGCCATGGCCCCGGAGGCACAAGGACTTAGCACAGAGAGCCACCCACTTGGAGCAGAAAAGCAAATGGACTATGTGTTAAACCGCGCCAGCATGCCTGCCCGGAGGGGAAAGGGTGTTGACCCACTCGCCCGCTCCTCTCTGGAAAGAAAGATGGCGGCCGCACGGGAGCCTTGTGGACAGCAGGTTTGAGCCGGGGGTGGGAGCGGCAGGGACCTCATGGGAAGGGGGGTGTTCTGGGCCGACCGAGGTCGCCAGCTGCCCCCACGAGCGGCTCTCCGGGACGGCCATGGCCCCGGAGGCACAAGGACGTAGCACAGAGAGCCACCCACTTGGAGCAGAAAAGCAAATGGACTATGTGTTAAACCGTGCCAGCATGCCTGCCCGAAGGGGAAAGGGTGTTGACCCACTCGCCCGCTCCTCTCTGGAAAGAAAGATGGCGGCCGCACGGGAGCCTTGTGGACAGCAGGTTTGAGCGGGGGTGGGAGCGGCAGGGACCTCATGGGAAGGGGGGCGTAATGGGCCATCCTTCATGCCCGACCGAGGTTGCCAGCTGCCCCCCACGAGCGGCTCTCCAGCACGGCCACGACTCCAGAGCACAGAAACCAATCTCTTAACTATCTAACTTTTAATAGAAATTCTTCCAGGGTTAATAAGTAAAATAGCAGAAATCCAAAACCGCGTGGCCGCTATCGCGGCCGCGCGACATCATTTTATTCTTAAACCAAGTTGTAGAAAGCAAATCATTTCACAACGCTGTTTCAGCATGTCTTATTGGGGGGGGGGGTCGTAAACTCTAAACAATAATTGTGCATCTTCTATCGAAACAATGTATCTAGTCAAAGTAGATAGAGTATTAACTAGAACTCATCTGCCTCACAGGAATTGAGAGGGGTGGGAGGTGGGGTTCTATTGGGGTTCGCGGTTAAAAATAAGTATTGGTAAAGGGAAATGTGTTTGATATTTACATGACTGAGACCTAAACCTGAAAGCTCTGTAACTTTTCCCACAGTGATTCAATAAAGAAATAAATTATAAAAAAAAATTTAAGACATTGTTAAAAGAAATAAATATTGTAACTGGAAATGGAATACTATGCAGCCATTAGGAAAATGAATTCATGAAATTTTCTTGTACTTGGATGAACATGGAGAGTATCCTACTGAGTGAAATGAGTGAGAGGGAGAGAATCAGACATAGAATGATTGCATTTGTGGGATATAAAAATGCATAGTATGAGAATAATATACAAAGGCAATAAAAATAAGGGTCAGAAGAACTGGTCCATGGTAGGAAGTTTGCCACAAGTGGAAGGGGTAGTGCAGTTAGGACAGGTAAAAGACCACTGTGATAATGATACTTGGGATTGATCACTCTGGACAAGAACTGGGTGTTGAAATGAGATAAAGTGATATGCATGATAGCCTTTCAGTAACAGTGTTACAAACCTCACTGCCTAAATGGAAAATAAGAAAGAGAAAAAAGAAGAAGAAGAAGAAGAAGAAGAAGAAGAAGAAGAAGAAGAAGAAGAAGAAGAAGAAGAAGAAGAAGAAGAAGAAGAAGAAGAAGAGAGGAGGAGGAGGAGGAGGAGGAGGAGGAGGAGGAGGAGGAGGAGGAGGAGGAGGAGGAGGAAGAGGAGGAGGATCTGCTCTTGACAGACTTGTGGGGGAGGGAAACTGGGAACCTTGGTGGTGGGAAATGTATGTACATAGGTGAAGGGATGGGTATTGGAACACCGTATGACTAAACTCAATCATGAACAATGTGTAAATGTGTATCTCAATTTAAAAAGTGAAATAGTGTAAAAATTATGAATCCTGCTTTCTCACACACAATAATCCATTCAAAGAGACTAAATAGAACATATTGATCCAGATGATAAAATTCTACTACAGTTCAAACGTAAGTATAGAGGGGAATGGGGAAGTGGTACTTTATATTATTCCTATTATTATAGAATATCTGCATGGGAAAGAATCCCAAATCAGATGGGCCATCCTCTCATTTCATGGTGCCAACCAGAGACCACCACTTCATGGCGGCTGAGAGCAGTTTCTTTCCATCATATTGGCCCTGTCCAGAGCACGGTCTGAGTCCTTCCAGTGGGAATAGAGCTGGATCTGAGATGCTACAACAACTTAACATTTTTAATTATGATTATTAGACATGCATTCTAACATCTTTTAGGGGAAAAATTTAGCACATCCAACCCCTGATTTCAAAAACAATCTTGCTTAAGTCATGGTTCTTTGTGTTTGTTTTGTCTTGTTTCTTTGAGTAAGTTGATGTAGGGGAAAATGAAAATTGAAGGTAAAGAGTGGTACAGAGTGTTCATGGATATGATAACAGTGATGAAGGCTAAAGTGAATAAAAGTTTAGAAAACACTACATCGAACTTGGAACACTATGGCCTGATATGACCTAGCATCTATTTTGTTGCATTATTATAAGTTAAAATGTTTTCTCTACATTTTTAAGTGGTGAAAAACTAATATTTCTGTGGCATGTAAAAATTTGATAAAATTCTAATGTCAGTTTCCATAAGGGTCACTGGCACTTAGCCCTGCCCATTTGTTTATACATTGTCTCTGGCTACTCTATAGAGAGCTAAGTAGTTACAACAGAGACCCTGGGACCAGTGAATTCCACTCCATCTACCTTCAGACTGTCTGTTACACTGCTTTCTTCATGGCCCTAATTCTCAGCTGATGATGACAGACAAGGGAAGACTTATAAATAAATCCACTGACTAGGAGGAGCCCTCACTCCTGTAAGGTTAAGGCTTCAGCTTCATTATTTTTTAAATGAGGTTCGAATCAATTATCACAAAGAGCATTCCTGACGGTCTATGAAGTGGTCTTTTATGGTCTACAGATCTAAAAATCACAAAAAGCTTTTGAATCAAAGCATCTTGCAGTCATAGCTGCAATCAGACAGCTGCACTCACCACACGCAGTGGAAGGCAGGGAAACTGAGTCGGTGGGGTTTCCTCAGAAGTTAAATGTCCTGCAGAACCACATTTCCTCCCACACTCATGAACACTGCAGGGACTGTATCTCTTACCTCCACGAGGCCTTGCAAGATCCTGACACACATGACGCAGCCGTAATGTACTCGGGCAGCAGGAGGGATAAACATGTTCAGAGTGGACGTTAAGAAGATGGCCGCCCCAAAGACCCTGTAGGACCAAAGTTGTGTCACTGGCTGGGCGCCGGCATTGCAGGACCACCCAATAGAGTCTGAAGAAACAGCTTTGGGAAATATGCACTCATCCTTCCTGAAATCCATATATTCAGGCACACAGGATACACAATTATATAATAATGCAAGAGCACCTGGAACTATTGGACACACACTTTATCTGTTTTATGGACAGCCTTGGGCCTCCGACCAGTGTCAGCTGCTACAGCCTGAATTCCTCAAGTGACAGAGATATCCCTACTTCTTAGGCTGCTCATTCTGTCTCAAGGGACCAAACACCTCCCACAGAATATCCACTTGTATTAAACACATCTTGCCACCTAGCTGCCAACCCCTACTGCTCACTTGACAAAACCTGTACGGAATTAGGTGAGATTAACATAGAACACTACATCCTCAGGTAACACAGTGGCCAGGCCCTTGGAAACTGAAAATTTTAAAGAAATGACATAAATTGAAATTTTTTTAACCCCAGGCCCATGGGTACAGATAAGCCTAAAGCACCACTGGCATCATTCTGATCCTAAAAATATCACCAAACTTCTTCAATAAAACCCCAAACACTTCTAGTATTACACAATCACATGATTTACTCATTCACTGATTTCCCAGTCCACTTATCCCAATTCAGGATTCCCATTCAGGACTGCAGGTGGCTGGGGTCTATTCTGGAAGCTCAGGGTACAATAAGGGCTTTTTACTGAGTAGTACATTCTACCATTCACACACACACACACACACACACACACACACACACACACACCCCAAGACTGGAACAACTGAGATATTACAATGACCCTACTGTCCATCTTTGAGGTGTGGGAGGGAACTAGTAGGGTACCCAGAGAAAAAGATTAGTAGATATGCGGAGAACACGCAAACTCAATATAGACAATGGCCCTGACAGGGAGTCGATTTTTTTCCCCTCATTGGCATTATAACAAAATGACATTGAATTAAAAGACATTATTTGAGGACCTGCTGTGTAAGGCATCAGAGAATGTCACTGTTCAAGAGCCCTCAAACATCTGTAGTCTGGGAGCCACATGGGGCTAGTGGTACCCTGGAGCACACCATCCTTGCAGAAAGAGCATCTTCTGGAGAAAACTGAGACCTGACTGCCCAACTCTCAGTAATTTATGTGCAGTTTCCTCCCAAAGCTCTGGGGCACTGTAGCCACATTGAGAGTGACTGGGCCATGTCTTATCTATTGGGAACAGTAAGGGAAGCTTCACAGTCAGGATATTGTTAACAGATGCAGTGGTGTCTGTTGGACATGAAGTACAGCTATAAATTTTGAAAGAGGAGGAGAAAGACACTAATAATCTAACCCAATACTCCATTTGATAGGTGAGGCCTATTACTGAAGTCACCCAGTGGGTTACTTAAACATTGTTTCTCCTAACTCAGTTAGTTGCTCTTTTAGCTCCTCACTTAAAGACAACTGCAAAAGGGGCTGGAGAGATAGTGCAGGGGATAAGGCATTTGCCTTGCATGCAGCCAACCCAGGTTCCATAGCAGCACCGATCCCTGAGCAGTGAGCCAAGAATAAGCCCTGAGCAGAGCTGTGTGTGATCTAATAACCCAAGGCCCATGCCTCCCAAAGGTGATTACAAGATAAACCATGTTGAACCAATAAAGTAATTAAAAAGTAACCTTTAAGAGTTGATCCTTTGGAATCCGTATCCATGAATCGCATCTCCTGGTAATGCTCTGTCCGTCATCCCACCCCCCCCCCCCCATGCCGAGAGCAAACCATACAGATTGTGTAAATCAACCCAGCTCTGACATGATCCCTGTAGGGTTTTTGTTTTTCAGTGTTTCTTACCTGTTAGCTGCAAACTTGTTGGAAATGAAGCCACCTGGAATTTGTGTCACAATGTAACCCCAGAAAAAAGATCCATGGATAAGACCCACAGTCTCCGGATCCCAGTTAAACTGTGCTATCTGGAAATGAGAAATTAGATACAGTTGTGCCTGTAAGAAAACACTCAACCACTATTTTTCACTGATGACCTTACATAGTATCTAGGAGATCTTCCTTTCATCTCTTCACTCACAAATATTATGGAAAGTGTTTTGTTTGCTTGAGACAGCAGAAGACATAAAATTAATCGCTGCACTCGTAGACTATCCATCTGGTGAGGAGAGCTTATGCACCAATTAAAATATGCAGATATTCACACCAAATAAACATAACCATAATATGTAAAGATATATACAGCCAAATATTCACATTAATGTATATGCAGCCAAGTATATATAGATATTGATATAGATACACATACATTATCACCCCAAGTGGTAAGAGCAAAATAAAAAAAAACCTGTGAAGGAAACAAAAAACAAGTCACAGGCTCAATAGTTTGTTTATTAGGTTATTCAGAGAACCAACCGAGTGAGAGCACAAGAAAATGAAAGTCTTAAGTCTCATATATTGATGATAAAAAAAAAAGTACGCTCTACCTACCTGTAGGCTATGTGAGGATAAACAGCAAGGATATTTCTAAAAGGTTATCTCTGTGCACAGATATTTTGCACTTAGCACATTGAAATACTGCCTGAAAAATAAATTTAGCTTCTTTCATATGCATCCTCAGCAACTTCATCATTATGGAATTGGTAGCTGTTAGGATGATAATGGCAACTAAATGCCCTTCCACAGTTCATAGGCCACTGAAAATGTGATTTTCTAGGAACAAGATAACCTTTCCTAGCTATCTTCCCCAGACAAAGTATCTATCTCTTTTCAGACTCCTTGCAAATGTTCCTCCCTCCAAGGAAGCACTATGATTTCTGTGTCCAGAGTCGAGTCTCCTTCCGTGCACCGTTCTCAGCTCGCCAAACACGGATTCATTTCTCACATGGGCTGGCAAGCCACTCAAAAGTGGTGGCCGTGTCCTTTTGCCTTTCTAACCTCAGTGCCCCAAATGAATGCCTGGGGTATAGAAAGTGCAAGAAGAGAGAATTAATGAGTAGCTTTTAAAGGCATAGCTGTGGGGCTGGAGCAATAACACGGCCAGTAGGGTATTTGCCTTGCACGCGGCCCGACCCGGGTTCGATTCCCAGCATCCCATATGGTTCCCTGAGCACCGCCAGGAGTAATTCCTGAGTGCTGAGCCAGGAGTAAATCCCTGTGCATTGCTGGGTGTGACTGCAAAAGCAAAATAAATACATAAAATAAAATAAAATCATAGTTGTTCCTGAGTGGAAAGGGACTCTTAAATGTCAGCATACATTTCCCAAACTTTCACCAGCTTCTTTCTTCGGTCACAGTTTGTTGGGTATTCATTTTTTTAAAAATTTTTATTAGTGAAACACCATGAGGAACATTTGTAAGTTGTAATTTGTAAGTTGTAGACTTACAAATTTTTGTGATTGGGTTTCAGTTATACAATGATCTAGTACCCATCGCTCCACCAGTGCCCATTTCCCACCACCATGGATCCCAGTATCCCTCCCACCCCCCGTCCTCCCCCCCAATCCCACCCTGCCTCTGTGGCAGGGCATTCCCTTTTGTTCTCTCTCTCCTATTGGGTGTTGTGGTTTGCAAAAGAGGCATTGAGTGGCAATCATGTTCGGTCTATAGTCTACTTTCAGCATGCATCTCCCATCCTGGGAGGATCCTCCCTTGTTCGGTATTCAATCACTCATTTGGTCAACGTGTACCCAGTGCCTGCCATGTGCCAGGGCAGATGCCTATGTAAGTTCTTTGTATATTTCAAAGCTTATCACCATTAAACTAAAAATGAGTCTTTACATAACTGAGACTACTATTTTTTCTACCATATATTTTTCACATATTTGCAAGACCAACCCATCCATTCATACTGTTTCTCTCTCTCTCTCTCTCTCTCTGTCTTTCTCTCTCTCTCTGTCTTTCTCTCTCTTTTCTCTTTCTCTTTCTGGAAGATTATTTTTAAATATCTCAATGTCTCAATGCAAAATATCCAGTTTCTCTGCACCTCCCCACCCCCCCAAAAAAAACAAACAATCAAAGGCAAAACCAGAAGCCATTCAGAGCCTCTCCTAAAACAAAGAGAGAATCTTTGTTGTCAGGTTGAACAATGCTTGCAGAGAGACCAAGCTTTCTTCTGTCTGTACAAGAGATAAACGGCATGTTATAGGTTGGAGTTCTGCTAAACTTCTGAGATACTACTAAACATATATTTTTGAGAAAATGCTATCAAAATATTTGAGATCTTAATCAGTTTCTTTTGGAATCCAGAAAACAGAACCATAGAAACTTGAAAGAGGACACGAGTATTGTTGCTTGGGTTTATCAACTGTCTCTTCCTTATGCCTCCAAGCAGACTATTGACCTAGGCCTATCTCTTCAGGCAACAAACAACTGCAAACCAGCATCTCATTTTGAGCTGAGCTGCAGCAGCTGAGTTTTAATTAGCTGTTCACAAAAGGCTGGGAGAATACATGTGATACCCATCTAAGACCTGCTAATATCCATCATTCTTGATTTTAAAAATGCATGACACACCCCCACCCACTCTTACATGCCGTCCCACCCCTGGAAAAAAGCAAACAACTGGGATGTCCTGTTAGATCTGCTTCAACTTCATCAAAAAGAGATGAGTTCGTTGGCTTTCTCCAACAAAATAATTTCCAAGAGAAAGCTCGTGTTCTCCCTTGACTATTCTCTCTCACTTTCTTTCTTTCCTCTCACATTTCTGTAAGTAAATTTCTTTCAATAAGGCAATTTTACTTTACGGAGGGAAAAATTAGTCCGGAGAATCACCCTGGTGCTCTCTTCCTCAGGCAGAATAATTTCTTAATGGAAAAAAAAATTATTAGTGAAAAAAAAATCCAGGCTACCTAAAGACTTCCTTTTTGTTGTTTGTTTTGGAACCACACTCGACAGCATTCAAGGTTTATTCCTGGGTCTGCACTCAACAATGACTCCTGCTAGGACTCAGAGGACTTTATAGGATGCCTGGGATCAAACCCAGGTCAGCCACATGCAAGGCAAGTGCTCGACCTGCTATACTATCTCTCTGGCCCAAGACTTCTTTTTTTAAATGGATTGAAATAAAAATTTTCCCAAACCAGTTTTTAGCAGAAACTAGTCCAAGTCATGCTGGTAGAATAAAAGCGGTCTAAAATCAAGTCTTGCATGCTAAGCTAAATGAGTCAGAAAGAGAGGGAAGACATAGAAGGATGGCATTCATCTGGGGAACATAAAGTAGCAAAATAAGAGACTAGCCCCCAAGAATAGCCGAGATAAATATCAGGAGGTTTACTCCATGGCTTGGAGGCCAGCCGCACACACTAGGGGAAAAGGTAGCTCAGATAGAGAAGGGAGCACCAAATAAAGGGTGTTGGGAGCATCCTCCCAGGATGGGAGATGCGTGCTGAGAGTAGACTATAGACTAAACATGATTGCCACTCAATGCCTCTTTTGCAAACCACAGCACCCAAAAGGAGAGAGCGAACAAAAGGGAATGCCCTGCCACAGAGGTAGGGTTGGATGGGGGGATGGGGGGATGGAGGGTGAGAGGGAAGCTGGGACCCGTGGTGGTAGAAAATGGGCACTGGTGGAGGGATGGGTACTTGGTCATTGTATAACTGAAACCCAAGCACAAAAATTTGTAAGTCTACAACTGTTCCTCATGGTATTTTACTAATAAAAATTTTTTAAAAAATCAAGTCTTGGAGACACTCTCTGCCTATATGTCCCTTGGAAACTTTGATAGGATGCTGTCCAGGAAAGGTTTCTATTTCATACGGTACCTTCTTTATAGTACAGTACAGTCCACAGAACAGTGAATTGTCAGGTGAGGAACCTATTCAAGGATCTTTCATTTAAACCCTTCAAATGTCTCTCTGCCAAAGGGAGTTCTACCTGGACCCTTCCCTTGTGTGTGTTTAGCTCAGTGAAGCATGTCATTTGGGAATCCACTGGATATACATTTTCATTTTCCCTTAGAATCTTTCCTTTTTTAATTGAATCACTGTGATATAAACTCTTGTGATCTTGATACTCCTCTTCACCTTTCATTTAAGAGACAAACCAAATTTTACATTTCCAGTGACACATGAAAGCAATACAGAGCACATCAGCATGTGCTTGTTTATGACTACAGTGGCCTTTGTTTTGGGTTTAGGGGGGAAGGGAGTTTGGGGAGCACTCTACCTGTTCACATTACAGTCTTACACACTGAAAACACATGTTCTCAATCTTCCTTAGGAGGTCTTTTAATTAAAGCATTATATACATACACACAGGCTGTTGTGTCATTTTCTTTATTCACTATATTGTTTGTAAAATACATTCTTACAA